CATGTTCTAATTCCTATGTTCACTGAATAAGATTTTAATCATAATTACAATTGAATTCCTTTTAGGACACATTTTAGAGTGTGAATTTCTGGAACTCAATGTTTGTTGATGTACAGAGAGAAATATTCAATAAAAATTACGTATCTTTTCTGTAATTCCGGAGCGAAATGTGGTTGTAAGAAATTTTACGGAACTGTCACGTAATTTTCAGCTGAATCTCCTGTGAAAAATTACGATACCGTCACTTAAATTTTCTGAGCCGATTCCGTAATCGGTGAGCGAACTGTGAGTTCCGTAATTTTTACTGAACATTTCTCTCCGTGTGCTCCTGTAAAAGTGTGTGCCCACACTGTTATCAATTTTTAGTTGGTTCACATGGTAATTCAATTAATCTGTTATTTATCTCATCAATATAGTTCCGGGCTTAGAATGTTGTCATCTCCTGTTTTCTGCACCAAATAAAAAATTGAAACTTAATTTGGAATATTGAGTCACAGCTTTTTTTTTATTCATATCAGAAATTTTGTATTTGGATATTAATATTATTTGTTCAAAGTGAAAAAATCGATCATCATTTTTACTGTATTGCAGTCAGATTCTCCTATCCTTAACGTCAAAAACGTGAAATAATCTCATAATTTTAGCTATTCATTCTAATCAACTTTGTTCGAAGAAAACTTTATGGTAAACGCAATATTAACAAAGTAGAATTATTCTATTGTTCCTCTGACCTAAAATATTGGAACAATTATGATTCGTTTATTCATGTTTCATAGAATGGTATTCAATTCTCTTTTGTTTGTTAGGCGGGCTTCATGAAAATTGGATGCAAGACGATTGTACTCATGAAAACCACCTTACTTTCTCCATTCGTTTGACTCTTAAAAAAAATGAAATTTCATGGACAGTTGACTTCTAATTTTCAGGACAGTGACACTGAATGCGATTTAGGGCGGAAAAAATCATTAAATTTTAGGTTTCACTGAAAATTCAGTAAAATTTCAAAATTTTAAGCAGCATAAAAATGAGAATTCCTCAATTTATTTGAATTTCCAATCTAATATGAATATTCAGTGCCAAATTAAATTGAATTTTCAGTGAAATCTGGAATTTCATGATTTTTTTCTCCCTAAATAGCATTCACTGTTCTGAAAATTCAAGAATATATGAAGAATATAAGAAAAAATGGAACTGAAAATTATAGTTCTCTTTGATTTTTCCACGAAATTCTAAATTTTCGATGACGAAATTCTTTGAAATTTTAGTGGGAATTTTCCTCATCCAAATGTCAGCGAATAGAATTGCACTATGCGACTGTTATTTCATATAGTCAACACAGTATTCAGCTGACAATTTTTGATAATTCAACTGGTAATTTTTCATGTTGACTATATTTGTGGAAAACAAAAGATTCCGTGGTCGAGTGAACCCCTGGTTGGAACTGTCACATGGATTTTGTCTCATAGTGCAATTCTTTTGGCCGACATTTGGATGGGAAAATTCCCTCCCGAATACTACTCGAGATTCAAAATTAATCGAGTAATTCCCTCAAGGTTCCCTGCACACAAACGAAGTCGTCGAGTTTTTCAGGAAAAATCAGGTTTTTAACCTGACAAACTTGACTCCTTCGTTTGTTTGCAACGAACCTATCGGGAATTGCTCGATAATTTTGAAGCTCTCGTGGTATTACTTGTAGTGATTGAATTTGATAAAAATTTCCAAAAAGTGTACCGGAAATTTCAGGCAAAGAGTTTTAACAATGTATCCACCATGTTCGAGGTCGTATTTTCGATTCAAGATATTGTCCATGCTTTTTTAATACAGGATTTTACATGAAGTTTGCGGATTTGTATTGATCATGATGTGTGCGGAAAAGGTGAAAAATTTTTGTTAGAGAAAACTGAGGTTTAGGGAAGAAAAAAAACCCTAAAATAAACGAAAATGAAATTTTTCATAAAAATTTCAGCAGAATAAATTGACAAAAATAACGGGGCAAAATGGGCATGAGATCAATGTTTGGAATCGGAACTTTCCCTGTCTTTTGAATGGAAGAAAAGTCTGGATTTAAAGGGCAATTGTCAATCACCTGTTTCCCCGTAAAACCAGAATTACCAGAAACTGGGAATCGAGATGTCTCAATTTCACTTTTTTTCCCCAAAAAAAAATTGTAGCGAGGGTTCTCCCCCCTGTTTCCAACGGGTGTTTAAACCCCCCTCTCGGTAATTTCCGGCACAACCCCTAGCCCTGCCCCGACCAATGGGAAAGTCGGTGCCCCCCACCCTCGCCCGGTGCACACCTTTCCCCCGGCGTTTCCCCTTTTCCACGATTTTTGGGGAAAATTCCGAGACTCACCGGGCAGTCTTGTGGGATCGGTAGCCCGGGGCCTTTAACTCGGAGGATTTAAATTCCACGAGACGTGTGACTGTGATTTAAATTTTAAATCTCTAGTCTTACTTTGGAAAAACATTTTTGAGTGACTTTTTTTTTATAATTATCTCCTGGGGATAGTTGTCACGGGATGATTGACATCTTCACTGAATTTAGGACGTGAAGTATTTCATTTTGTGAGTGAAACTAATTTTTTTCTCAAGTTTATTCGAGTGAAAATTTTTTTTCGTGACATTTTGATGATTCTATAGAAAATGAGAGATTTTTTGGAGAAAACGCTCCGGGAATTCCTCCCACAAAACAAATTCTGCGTTTTTCTCATCTAGAACCGCTCGTTACTGAGATGATTATTTTTAAAAAATTGACCTGTCATTTTTTACCTTTTTCCATTTTTTAGTTTTCATTATTAAATTTTATTTCTCATCAAATTTCAGTACCTCTCAATTTCACAGATATTAATTCCCCCTGCCCCTGCAAGAATCGAATTAACCAGAAAACCAATTAAAAATGTAATCAAATAAAAACAGCCCCTAAAATTGCATTTAATCTGAAATTCAAAAATACCTAATCAATCCCAATACAATCGCCATAATTCTCGTGAAGAAATACGACTGACCCATAAAAAAATAGTCCCGCAGAAATGAAAATAAAAGGACTGGCCGACGTGCGGTTCTAAATCTAAATCATAAACCCGATGATTTAGCGCGAGTTCGAGACTACGAGATATGAAAATTCGTGAGTGCAATAACAAGTCATCTCCTCTTCGATTTAATTACCTTCTCAGTCATTCATTAAAGCTCTAGATAGATTCTGACTTCCCCGTCAGTATTTGTTTAAATACTAGGAAAATAAATCTCGTCAATCAATCAGCATTCACGTCTAATTGAACCATTTCGAGAGGAAAAAAGGTTTCACGTTTGTGTAAACATAGCATAAAAACGTGAGGGGTTGAATGTGTTTGAGGAAATGAGTCTGAATGTTTATTTTCATTGCGTCACGGGGATTCGGAAGAGAATAAAAAAACTGCAAAAATCATTTTCAAATTTCTTTAAAATTTTTTGTCGTCTAAGGTCAATTAATGAACTTGTTCCAATCCATATCCAAAAATGTTCTGAAATCAGAATTCCAAAATTCCATGAATTTTTTTTGTTATTGCTTTTGCATTGAATCGTTCACTTTTAAGTTTTGGATTTTTTCTGTTACATCGACCCAGTATGATTCAAAAAATTCGAAAATGCAATTTTTAGACCTCGTCCGTACGTGTGTGTGCATGTGTGTACATATGCAATAAAGTTTTTCTTCAATTGTTCGCTAATGAATGGATGGAATTGTATCTTTTTTTCCAACTGTAGGTATTGTTGAGCCCTATCAATCGCAATTAATTAAATTTTAATTTATCTATTAGTTTCATCAATTTTCGAATTTTTTCGAAAATCGGTTGTCCCACGATAAGTAAAAAAAATGTTACGAATTGATTGAATGACGGCTTCAAAAATCTGTTCGGATGTCCTTTTGATCGAGTTCGAAGATGAAGGCGATAGCAATAATCGTTATTTTGATTTATTTGACAATTTGCAAAAATTCTATATTTTTTGAAAATCAGAATTCCGGGGATACCTTTGAATATCATGCTTCAAGTGAATTTAATCATAGCTTAAAATGTTTGTTTTAATGCCATTAAGTCGAAGTTAAAAGATGATTACGATAGCTATATTGGTTGATTTGATTTTCACGATGATTGTTGAAAATTTCGAATTTTTCATGTATTTCCCTGAAAGTAGCTTTCTGATGGTTTCTTCAAATGTGATGTTTCAAATTCATTCAAGTGTATGTGTAAATAAAATTTTTCTATTAACATATTATCGAAGGGCTGAGGGAAGAGAACCGTAAAAAAGACAATCGGTTGTATCGAAAAAAGGAATAATAAGAATAATAATGATGATAACATTCAACTGCGTTGAAAATCTGACAAAATTAGTTGAAAAAAAATCTTATCCAATTTAATGAAATGAAATAAACAATGAATTATACATGATAGAGGGAAATGGTGTGCAAAATAACCATTCGGCGGAAGCATATTGTTCATTTATTAGCAAAAATAACTGTACCCTATTAGACAATTACTCCTGAAATTTCAAGTAAAAAATTTTGAAACTTTTAACAATCACTCAATATTCATACAATATTTTCATGTATTTCGTCATTGAAAAATCAGTGGAATTATGGAGTATTCAATGGAATTGCATTTTTGAGGTCCATATGATAATGAAGATTATTAAACAATTTGACAATTCAAGGAATAATGTCCCTGATTTTTCAGTCCATTGAAAATTCACTTGAATGTGATGTTCAATTTCCGCAACGAATTTCAAAATTCTACATGTAATTGCAATATCAGTGATAATCTAACCTGAAAAGTCCAATTATTCCAAATTTTCAACCTGACTGTAAGTGAAGTTGAATTCCATGAACGATTTGATCTTCAATTGAATTCAACTTCACAAAATTGAGAATTCAAGTGCAACTATTACTTAATTTTCAAAAAAAAAAAAATTTAAGTGTTCTACATGCAATACAGGAGCCATTTCCCACTGGTCTTTTTTCATTTTCAGGAAAAGTCAAGGTGAAAGAGGAGAAGGACGGATCATCAATGGCACCAGGTAGTCCCCCCACGCCGCCCCACACCCCCCAGAGTCCGTCGCGTCAACCCAATCCCCCCGGTAATTTATCCCAATCGAGTCAAACCCAGAGCATATCCCCAAATATTCAAAATCCCCTTCAAACACTCGCTAATTCACCCCTAAGTCAGATACTCATACAGAATCCCGCATTAGCACAATTGTTACAACAAAATCCAGCTATACTATCCCAAAATCCACAATTGGCCCAGTTACTGCAACAAAATCTTCAGGCACACATGGGAAATGTATTGTTTCCCACAAATTCAAGGAGAGACGAGTCTGAAGAATCACGGGTAAGTCAACTATCACTATTAATCCCTTTTATTTCCATGAAAAAAAATTGAGTTCATTGACCTGACGATTATAACATATTAAAGCCGGAAATAACGAGGAAAATTAGATGACAATGGAAATAGCTTCCTATGCGGGTCTCTTTTCTCCATCAATTGTCTTGAATTGGATCAATTCTCCCTTCAATCATCCCCAGAAAGAAAGAAAAAAACATCAGTCGCCTGCAGAAACAAAAATGCTGACCGTAACCTCAAAAATTAAAATGAATTTTTTTTGTCAGTTATGCACCACTGCAAATATCCATAAATAGTAAATACGGCTGATCGACAATCAGACACGCCTGTGTGGATTTCCCCGAACGAGTAGGGAAGGGTACAAGACCATTGTTTCGTCGTTAATCGTTCATAGCGAATGAAATTTTTAACGGCCGGCAGTTAACCTTAACGAACGCCTCGAGCCCGCGGGCAACATGACTCGTCCAGCCACTCACCTCTTCTCTCCCTCCTCTCAACTTGGAGTTCTTCATAAATGAATTTTCTTCTCATGGAATGAATGGGGATAACCTCAAAATCATATTTCAATAGGACCTAACCTCAAACAATAAAAAATACACTTTGAAAATTTGCCAATATCTCGGAAACCATTGATTCTAGACTAAAACACTAAAAGACATTTTATGTCGGGCTCAAAATTGAGCCCAAAAGTTTCCTCTTATCTTTTCACCAAAACCCGATAACAACCGCGATAAATCGCTTCCCTCATTGATCATTCTCAAACTCCAAAACCTTAACCTAAAAAACTACAGCACGGCGGGAAAATTCAAATCGTGGGAAAATTTTTACCCCCTCTCCCATAATTCAAATGTTCCCATAACCACGACCTGAAAAATTGCAAATATCTCGAGAATTATTGGCTCTATCTAAGAACACCATAGAACCTTTTATGTCGATGACAAAATTCTGCACAAAAGTTCCTTTTAGCATTTTCAGCCAAACCCCATAATAACCGAGATAAATCCCTTCTTTTACCGATCACAACGGAACCGCGGCAAAATTAAAACCTCCTCATCCCTTCCCGTAACCATTCACCTCAAGCGCAACAAACCCATATTTTTATCCTTCCCAAAAAAAAAGTGAAAACCAAACTGCAAAAATTGTTATGCAAAAGAAAATCCATACAAAGGCATTCACCCCAAGAAGGGGAATCCCCTCTTTCTTTCCGCCTTGTCCTGAGTATATATTCCATACGTTTATTTTCAGCGAAAGAATTGAAATTATTCCTCCGATTTTTGTCGTGTCGTTTACATTACTTTTCGCCTTTGAATATTAATGGGCATATGCTCTTGTGGCACACAGAAACTGCGTTATGGAATATATAGCCAAGCGAGCGACTGAGTGGGGAGGGGGGGGGGGAGGCGGTAGGAGGAGAAGAAGACGAAGAAGTAACAACGGGCAAACGCCGGTATAATACTCGACTCTTAACGTTATTCTATTGTTTGCAAATCAGCTCTATTGTTTTCTCATATATACCCTAGCGTTGGCACACCAATGGGTGCCCCCCTTCCGCCCCTGCCCCTTGCATGTTCATCCCCCTCCCCCGCAGGTATCTGGCGCTCCTGGCGCCCCCCACCTCAATGACCAACGTCACAAGTTGTCTTTTCTTCATCTCATCCCGTGGATTTAATGCCCTCATAATGCTGTTATGGTGGACTCTATGAATTTATGATGAATTTTATTAATGGAAAATAGAGGGAAAAAAGGGCATTGAGTGTAATTGTGTTTTTAAGGGATATTTTATGGAGAAGTGTTGAGGTTATGGTTTTTTTTCTTTCTTTAGAGAATGGAAGTTGTGGAGAAATTCATGGGAATGCTTTTTTTAAATTATAATAAATTCGCAAAATTCGTTAGAATAATGAAATTTCTAACATCAAATTTTTAATTTTTTTCGTTGACTTTTTCAATTCGACGCTATCCACGATTGCACCATTTGACATGAATTATAAATTCCCTCTCGCATCGGATCGTCAGCTAGGGCTTCTGAAATCGTACAGGATTCGAATAATTTCGTTGAGCTCTAGGGCTTCACGTCCCCCTTTTACCATTTTCTTATTATTTACTTCTTCCTTATCATTCACACTGTCCTAAAGCTTCCCAATCAGTGTCACTGATCGAAAAAAATCTATTTTTGTTCTCATGAACCGACAAAAACAAATAACAACCAAGTTCATCTACCTCCAGAGCACATGCCCATTCCAATCAGCGTAAAATCGAAATTCTAATTAATCCGTTTGCTTGATATTGTCCGGAGGGACGGAAAACAAAAAACAAAATAATGGGGGGAGACGAGGAGTTGAGTGAGCTCGATGCCGGAAGTTCGTTTGAATATTCGATGTCATTGTACGCTGCATGGCAAGGTCATCGATCCTAACCAAGAGCGTCTTGAAAAAAATTCAGCACCTACAAAACCCTAAAGCTCTCGAAATTTTTCCAAATTTTCTAACCTAAAATCTTCCAATACACAATTTCTGACCCTTATTTTACCATTTTTAGGTTCCACCAACGATAGCAAGCCTGGCAGCTATGAAGGTGAACGCAGGTGATCCAAAAGTTTCCGGTAAGTTGAAGGAAAAAAGAATTTTACCCTCAAACAATTTTAAATTATCCTCCGCTATCACGAAACTCAATATTTTAAGGGGTATTCCCCCTTTATTGGAATATCCGCCTATTCAATAAGTGCTTGATAAATTATCCCGCAGATTAACTTTGTACCAACTATCCCATCATTTCCAATGATCCGCCATTTTAGAAATTTTATTATTATTTCAATGGCCGTTAATTTCATTTCCCTACCGTCATTGTTTGTCATCATTGGAGAAAAGCCCTCTCCCCCCAAATAACCTCCACAAGTGCATGCTGAACATAACTAACAATAATTCCCCAGAAAGTAGGGGGAATCCCCTGCCCCAACCGGCGAAAAAAAATAACATTGATGGAGTTTAAAAACTCGTTGAAATATGTATATAAATGTTGGGAGTTGAGACGGTGAATAGTTGAGGCCAGCAATCAAAGCTGATTAAGCCCACAACTGGGGAATCTGTGGGGCCAGTGTCTCACGCCAATCTCGCCCAATCAGGCGCGTTTGAACGGGGAGATTTAAAAAATAGAATGCCTACTGTCAATTGTCCCATAATTTAAATAAATCGAATAAATGGACAAAGTGGCCAATTAGATGTAGTTTGCTTGGGCTTTGGCTTTGGGGCCCTTTAGCGTATTATTTCATTTCTCTTTCTCTCTCACTTCACGGAACTCTCACTCTTATTTCGTTGGTTTATGGTCTTTATTCGCGGTCCAAATTCACCCCTCGAATGTACTTCAGATATTGTTGGGTTCAAATGCTGGGTTATTGTCACATAAGTGTGAAGGACCTCTTGATGGACATTGGAATCAACAATTGGTAATTTGTAACAAAAAAACGGCCTCTCACTTTATTTCTAACAACCACGATAAATAACTTAGTTTCATTTAATATTCATTACTTTTATTGTCTTCATTTTAGAAAACTGCAATCAGCATAAAAAACGTTCATGGAACATATAAACGGGAGCCTACAATAAATAACTGGTGCACATGTACGAATAGCATGCATCGGGGAAGGCTCACGGCTCTCTGCACGCCTCAGGCCTCATATCCCCATTCATCTTTTTTATTTATTTTTTAGAAACTTACCCTCCGCCCTCTGTTCGTTGCACGTCACACGAGTCCTTACTTTCTTGGCGGTGAGACAATGTGGGGTCTCTAGCTTATTTGTGATGATCGGCAGTCTTGATATTTCTTGATTATTTCATTATTGTCAATGATTTTTTTCATCTATTTTCCTCTTCGTAGCTGAATTTCGGAAAAGTTCGCTTGCGTCAGTTAATGATTTTCAGGTCGTTCTCCTCGAGAGATGATGCGTTTGGTCTGGTACTCTCTATTTCTATCTTTTTCAATAATTCCAACGTGATACGGGACGTGATTCTTCTCAGCATGTAGTCTCTGCTGTAGACGCTGCTGTCGCGATAATCAGAAGTCTTCCTTCCGGCAAGAAGAATGCATCACAATTTTTTTCATTGTTAATCACTCAAATTATTTATTAAGGTACCGTAAAAGTTTCCCTTCATCATAATGAAAGACTCTAATTGTTTAACAGGAATGAATGAAACCCGAGAAATCTCGCCTATTCATATTCCGTTTTCTTGAACCCCTCCCGTTATCACTAGTCACGCATCTCTCTGCTCGTCCCTCATTCGCGCCAGTTACCCTCCGACACTATCATAACGCCTTTCCACTCGGTTGGCGTTCAAAACAAAAACCAAAACAATGAAAGTAACAATTTATCAATTAGAAACAACTCTACAATCCATTGACATAAAAATTCGCGACTATTCAGGTTGAATTAATTGAGAGCCAATCTCTAAGTAAATCCATTGTAATCATCGAATCGTCCGGAATTTTTATCGATTCCCCGAATCATCTCAATAGTCCCCTCCATTTTATATTTTTTATTTCATCATTTAAATTGAATTTCATGGCTCATTGGAAACCATTTAAACCGCTTATGGGGATTGTAATCCCTTTTGTTGGAGCCACATGTCCAAAATATGACAAACAAAATGTTCCCCCGATACTCGGAATCCTGTCGTCGTTCTACCCATTCTACCCCAGTCGCTTTATGTAAAATAATTGATAGTTTTTAATCACTAATTTTTTGCAATTATAACCCCAAAAATATTCCCCCAATATTTAGAATTTCTCTATTATAACCCCCCCCCCCCGCAAAAACTTGTTTGCATACCAGAGATTGTGACAAAAAACCGTCTAGAATTATTTAATCATATAAATTAGTGCCATCATCAGATGCCTAAAATACCCGGAAAAAAAATTATCCCCGAATATTTGATGATTGTGTATTCGCCCTGTGTTTTAATACCCCTTCTGATTCCTCAAGGTTCAACTTTTTATTATCAAAAACCAAACGTAAAAGAATGAAAGAAAAGGATTTTAGAGTTGGAACGCTTTAAACTCCAACGAATTCGACAATTTTATATTTGAAATTTATTATCGCCCTCCGTGGGGATCTGTGAGAGATTTTGCTTTTTCGTTTTAGTGGAGTTGAGAGAGGAGGTAGAGGTCCTCCCTTCTCGCCACTGTTGTGTGGGGGCCGCCGGTGCCGCCGACGGTCTAATTTATCGTTCCTCAACTTTTTATTAATTTCGGCCATTCGAGAATCGGCGCAAGGGGCCAATGGCCACTCGCCACGACGCATTAAGGAGCACCGTGGATATATTCCTCTCTTTCTCTCGCTCATTTCTCTTTGAGGGGAGCGCTCCCCCACTGTTGAGGGCTTACCTTACTCTTACCCCCCTTCTACCTTTCCTCCCTCCCTCGTAGGAATGCAGTTCTAATTTTTCGCTCCGTCAGGATACCGACCTGACAAAAATCTACTTCCAAATGGCGAAGCCCCCCATAACTGCCATAGAAAACGTACCCTTTTTGTCCATTTTCGTTGATTAAGGAGCACTAATTGAATTTCGTTTAGAGTTTCAGGGTTCAAAGGAGGGGGGGGGGGTTATTTCCTCTGGCATTTGAGAATTGATAGGGCTCTGTCACTTTTGGATGCAATTTATGCACTTTCAAATAATCTGGATCAAAGATCCTCTCATATTCTGCAGATTATGCTAATTTGGTCATTCGTCAGTTGATGATTTTTTGATGCGTCTCCTCACTAAATGATTCTATCTTTCTGAATATTTCAATTCATCGTATTTCTAGGTATTCTCTACGTAATCCGCATGATAATTCTCATCTGCATCTTGCCCCTGACGTAGACGTAGCTGTCGTCATAATGACAGGAATCTCCTGATCTTCCAAGAATAAACCATTGCAATCAACCAATAAAATCCGGTGATTGAAGATTTATTTTTCGACACACATCTTGAAAACACAAATCATTGCCAAATTGTTACAGAAAAGAGTCACAATAGAATCGTTCAAAAGCCATTGCTCAATACCTGCTCTTGAATCAAAATAAAAAAGACTTGAGAAAAAAAAACGATACATGTTGAATCATCATACAGAACCGAATGGACTGTGATAGTTTGGCTGATGTATGTGAGGTCGTCCCCAATATCGACAACGGATCGGGAAAAGAAACTATTGGCAATCGTTGCATACCGTCCTCGAAAGAATTGGAATTCACCTTTACATCGGGGTTGTTTGAATCGCAATCCAATCTCATTTTTAGCTATAAGTATAAACGATTATATATGTAATCAAAAACCCGTCCCAGTTTATATTTCTTTTCATGACCGACTTGTCAAACCCACACGTCTCAAACTTTTGTTACCACGCATCGGTGACATTTTACGGCTTGGTCTATGCCAAGACAAGTCGATCGTGACATTACGTGGCATGGTATTTGGCCTGTCAACATTAACCGAAATAAATGTATTACTATCATAATTAGGGACAATTGATTGTTGCAATGACTTCCTGAAATCGATCAATAACTTTCCATAAATTCGAACCCACAGAGAATCGAGACATATTGCCGCGTTCAGAGTCCATTAAACCATCCGATGCATCCCACAATTACATCTCGTTAAAAAGTGACACATTCCAAATTCACGAAGGCCAATAAAAATCGTATTCAATTGACGTTATGGAAATAATTTACCGAACAAACGAAAACATCAAGAGACCATTTCTAACAATACATATAATACCCTTTAGCAAGAATGTTAATTAACTTCACTCCAACGATGAACAATCATAAACAAGAAAAGAATAGTCAATATTTAACCTCAAAAGTGGTAAAAAAATTTCTATGCTAATTCCGCCGAATGACGTAAATCAAAATCCATCAATCATAGTAGGCACCTTCATCCATCCACCTTGGGAATATTTTTCCCATTTTCAGTAATGGCTTTTTCCCCTCATTTTTTGTCCCTCCTCTTCTTTAACTTGTCTACATGGAAAACGCCAGAAATAAATCCCTAATTCAGTCGGTAACGTTGACTATTTCCAGATACGCATAATCACGGGTAAGAAAGCGTCACTGAAGACGAGTCAGGAGGAAGAGAAAAAAGGAAAGAGAGAAATAAAAAAAAAGAGGACCGGAAAAAAATTTCGAGGGGGTGGGGGATACTGGCAGGCGAGGGTTAAAGGAGAAGCCTGACCTCGAGTCTTTCCATCATTCGAGCATTCTCACACGTTAGTAGCATCAGCAGACGGCTTTTTCCTCAATTTTTTTTCTTCCTTCCCTACATACGACAGATGTCTCAAGTTAGATAACAACTCGAGGTCCCCAGATTTTCACGCTCAATCGTTGCACTGGAAAAAAATTACTCTCTCATGTTAGTTTCGTGCATTTTAATTGAAGAATTTGTTTTTTGAATAGTCGAGAGTTTTGGAGGCCCCCGAAAAAAGTGGTTGAAACCTTCCCACAGACCCTTGGGGGAATAATTCAAAACTCTTGAAAGATTGTTTTAGGGGTTTCAAACAACCCCTTTTTCTCATGAATTTTTTTTTCAACCATTCTTCTTTTTTTGCTGAAATGGCTTGACAAAAGGCCAGAGAGTGGAAAAGCAAGCATTGGACGATTGTTTTTAGGTGGTACTATAAACGGTTTTTGCTAGTGTGTTGAGCCTTTCGAGCATCCGGAGGCTTTTCTTTTAGGGTTAAGATAAAAAGCTCTCATCGCAATGGCTTGCCAAATCATTCGGATGGAATCGTAGAAATTTAAAAAATATTCTAAATTTAATTTAGTGTCTTACACGTTGGAACGAGCAACCGAGATACAATTCTAGTTGGTGGAACCTGTGGTATACGTGTGTTGTTTGCCTTTCGAAATCGTTAAGGACTGCCAATGCCTCGTGAGTGAAAAATAGACGGGTTTGATTCCGAGACAAGTGATGTGACATGATGAGAGAGAAGGGGAAAGAGAGGAGGGACAATGGGATGAATTGAATGCGACTGACGGAGGTCAGTGCTACAAAATTTTTATTCATCGGGACTAGGATCGCGGAAGAAACGTGGGTAAAAAGTAAAATAAACGATTTTGGTTGACATTTTCGATGTATTTTCAGTAGATTGGGAGTAGGGACGGTAATAGAAATAGTGAAGATGCTTGGGATTGTTGGGATTCTACTTTTTGCACGATCGCTTTAATGATTCTCTGAATTTTCCGCTTCATTCTGATGTTCAATCAGGTGAAATCGATTTCTTTGCGGTTTTTGGCTTTCGCAAGTTGAGGTTTTTTAGGTCGTTCTCCTCGAGAAGTTTATCGATCAATTGCGATTTCTCTATTTTATGGTTTCTACGTATTCTTGACCTAATCCACATGAAAATCTTCCTGAATGTGACGGTATTACTGTAGACGCTGCTGTTGACGAATCCAAATTTTCAGTAAAAGCAGCTTGCAATCGAAAAGCCACGACGAAAACTCAATTTTCAGTGCGTCAAATTCACCGATGTGTGATGGTCCATGAAATAACGTTGTAAACTTTATTGATCCATCACCAGTTGCCCCCAATTACTCACCAAAACCCGGGGTTAAAGCATCATCAGATGCCCTGAAAGAATGACGAGGGGGTTGAAAAATATATTTCACAGGGCAATTTAACCGTCAAAAAAGCATTTCAAAATAAAAACGTGAAATTTCACAACAATAGAATAAAAACGCATGATATGCAATGATCCAAAATACTTTACCCCCAAAGGCAATATATAATCTCTCCAATGTATTCTCGATCATATCCTATCGCGGAATCGAATTTCTGTTTTGACAGCGGCTCGACCATCCACACACTGGCTTGAACACTTTTTTTTTTTAGGGTAACTGAAAAATTTTTCAGATGGGTTCTAAAAACCAGGGAACAATAACCCCCTCCGACAAAAACTAAAGAGATGAAAGTAGGTAGAGAGAGAAGGGTTCCCCTGCAATCCGTAGGCACCACTCGACCCCCTGTTCTCTATTTGAATTTGTCGAAAGGGTTCGATTCTGTTTATTTTCAAGGATAGCAGGGGGTAGCCTTTCCTCCTCGACAAAACTTTCATATCTCGGGCTAATGTTACATAGGGGCCAAACCTCTCTCCATCTTCTTTTCTCCACAATAAGTTACGTCGAAAAAAGAAAGAAAGAAAAAAAATCGCTATATATGTACAAAACCTAATGCGTCGTCGCCCAGTTGAAACTTTAGAAACTAGCCGACGAGGGGGTGGACAAAAAAAAATATATATATATATCGACGGGGAGACGTACATATATCGGGTCTGAAAAAAAAGGGGTGGGGAAAAGCCCATGGGCACTAAGTAGTAAGTACCGGGACTTGAAAATGAAAAAAAATATATGTGAAATCCCATGCGCGAATCCAGAAGGGTGATTAAAAAATGAAAGAAAGAGTATGAAAACCCCCTTCCGAACAAAAAATTCAAAGGGGTCACTGTGCACATGCTCTATGTATACACGGTAGCATTAATTGCACAAAACGCACGTGTCGAACATTTTTGTTTCTTTTTTTTCCACTCTGGCCATTTGAGTACACCAGGCCCTCTTTCCTTCTTTCAAATTGGACAAAAATTGACGCCTAAAGTAATTCTGTTTTTTCGAGCCGTCGAGGTGGACAAAAGAACCCCACCATTTTGTTTCGTCTGAAGAAGGTTCAAGTGATGTTAAAACTTGGATGTAATTTTTTTGGAGGACCCTGAGCAATACTGTAACATAATTTTGACGGAAATAAACATTGAATGGGGGGAGGGGTGAGTGGAAAGGATAAACCATCTTGGTGGAGCTTGGAGGAGGAAGACAATAAGTCGGTGACATCCCGCATCTTAGAATAGTTTAGTATCCGCCTGATGCTTTCTTACTCGGCTCGTCCCTGTCCCCCCGTCTCTCTTACTTCCTCTGTATTCTTCTCATTCGTTTTTATTCCACTCATATTTACTTTTTTTTCTATTTGTTGCGTTGTTCTCAGTTGTCTCTTTCCATTTTAACTGCAGTACTTCTTGTCAGTGGACTCTCTTCGTCTTCCCTCTCTGCCGTTGGCATTTACGAGAGCATACCCATGGTAATACGTCAAGTGCCGCCTGCCAGTTTCCTCGAATTTTCAGAGATTTTAGATGCTCTCGGTGCTTGCATGAGTATTTTCTTTGTTCTTTTGATGTTTGGGGGAGTCTGGCCGAATTTGGGCGATTTTGTTCGCTTCGCAAGTTGGCATTTTTTTTATAGTTCTCGTCGAAAAGTCAACGGATCACTTGTCATTTTCAAAGTTATGGCTCATTACACATTTTTGACGTAATAGTGATGATAATTTATCTTGACACAGCGTCATTGGCGTTGACGTTACTTGTGGTGGATTCAGATCACGCAAAGTTCAATGTTCAGCGGCAATGATCATAACTTCACAAAAGAATGAAGAATTACAATACAACTGGGCAAAAAATTATGTTAATTTGTGGATAGACTACACGTGTCCACCATTTGGTTTTTCTTTTTCAATTTTATTTTACCTCTTAGTCTCCATTTTTCGTGTATTCGTGTGGGCAATGCTCTCGAATAAAGGGTTATTCATGCCCCACGGATTAAATGCTGAGAAAAAAAAAAGAGAAAAGTACAAAAATAAAATGATGAAAAGAGTTGGGTCGAGTGAGAGGGCAGAATCAAGTCCCCCCTCCCCTCCCCCTCGAAAAAATACGGGGCCTTTTCAATCGCTCGATTTTTTTATTTCAAAAATTTTTTAAACCTCCCCTCCTTGACATTTTTTTTCATCGGTTTTTAAGAACATCGGAGAGAATAAAAGGGTTCCCCCAGGTTTATGAAAAGACGTCGGAGGCTGCGGGTCCCACACACACACACACACACACACATACCCCCAAGTTTTAGTATATTCGGTTTTTGTCCTCATACGAGAACATTTTTTTTTTCACAGACATATCTCTCAAGATTTGCCATTTAAGCCTGGTCACGTTCATTTCCCCCTTCAGGTATTATCGTTTCGGATGGCCCTCTCACCTGAGACGTGTGGGTGGCACCATGTGACCTCATACATAACCCTCAATACACATGTGACCACATTAATTCAATCCTCATCAAATATTGAGAATAAAAAAAACTCGGAAACAAAGAAATATGAATTGTAACCTCATTCCCTCGGGCTCTTTGTTTTCAGCTGCCATTTTTTCTCTGGACAATTCCTTTGTCACTCCCTCCCTCTCCTCTCCCTTTCAAAACATAAACATACACGTGGGGCCCCCCATTCGCGAAAAATATTCGACAATTTTTAAACTCGTTTTGCTGAACGCATTCAAACGTCGACACAAGTATTTCTCGGAATTAGCGGATGCGACGAAGCAAGAGACTTCTTTTTTTTTCTTACCCACTCCCAGCATACTTTTGAAACTCCCTTCCCCCGGGTCTTCATATTCACGTTAGGTATTCCCATATGTACTCGTCCGAAAATTCGCAAACAAAAAAAAGCAAAAATGATGGTTGTCTTTGAGCGCCCATTTTTGTTACGGATGGATGCGTTCCTTTCCGCCCCTCTTGAGACCTCCCGTATGTCTTTGACGACTTCCTTTTTCAACAGTTGGTACAATGCATCATTAATACTGTCTTGAGACCACAAATCTTATTTAGCGTCATTTACTATTTTTCGGGAATTTCATGAGAATGTTTTTTTCTTTTTCGGCGGCATTCGGGAACTGGATATTCACTCACTTTCGCAGATATAACGTTCATGCTTCTTTTTTCATTGTGGGTCCTTTACGGCTTGGTTTAAAATGCAGTGCCGACCAGTTTTTTTCGGTGTATGTACTGCGTGGGTCGACGAACGTTTGATCATAATTCATGATACCATCGTATTAAGATCACATTTAAATTTTATCTGAGTCATTGGGCGACATCTGAACAATATGCCTGCATTATCTGACTCAATGGGTAAAACAGGTTCTTACCCGTTGCCGGCAACAAACTCGTTTACCAACGGCGATGATTGAATCTACTTTATCGACTGCCAATACCCGACTAAATCCTACCTTACCGACAGTGAATAAATTTTCTTTGTCGACTGTGATAAAACAGAAAGACACCTAGAATTGATTTAGCTTTTTTTTGCTTGCAGTACTACTGAGACAAAGTATGTCCCCATCAGCGGAGAATCTGATAAGTTCAAAATCTCCAGCAGTACCTCAGCCTACGATCGATTACTCTCGATATGTACGGCGTTTTGGTTCAGGTCAAGAGTGTGGTAGCTCCTACTGCAAGGAGTTAGGCTGTCGCGAGCACTTTCACTGTCTAGACTGCAGTGGCCGAGTATTCGTGAAAAAAGAAGAGATGATAAGGCACTTCAAATGGCACAAGAAGAGAGATGAATCTCTGCAGCATGGCTTTATGAGGTACTCACCTACCGACGATTGCATGGAGCGACATCCAATGCGTCAATGCCCCCACAATCGTAAACAGACGCATTATCACTGTATACACGATAATTGCGATAAAGTGTACATATCAACGTCAGATGTGCAGATGCACGCTAATTTTCATAGGAAAGATTCGGCTATAATTCAGGAGGGCTTTCAAAGGTACAGAGCTACTGAGAACTGCTCGACGGATTATTGTCCATTTGCTGGACAACGAACGACGCATTTTCATTGCAGAAGGCCCGGATGTACATTCACATTCAAGAATAAAGCTGACATGGGTAAGGATCACGAATGAAATTTTCAGGTGGCCGTATCTTTGGCATAGCCGTCAGTTTGCGTAGATACGTCTGTGGTCTTCCCTTTCCTTCACTGAACATCATATTTTTTGTTTCTATATTTATTATATAGGTATATTAAAACAATTGGGGATTTCGCACTGTCTCATCATGATAAAACGTTTTTTATAACCACGATACGATTTAATTGTTCTACACAAACAAAATACCTAAACAAACGTTCAACATATTTCATTTGACTATTTGCGAATCATAAGACCAATCCACGAATTTGAACTATTTCGTAAAATAATCAACAGTCGGTATATTACCGATGAGCGATAAACATTCCTCAAAATTGTAATTTATTTCTTTGAAAAACTCGAGAATTTTCTAGAAAAATTTAGAATATTCTAGAATTCCGATAAATGGCGTCACTGCATAAAACCCACTCAGGACTGTTTCCCTAAAAATATGTATACGTTTGTGGTCTTTCCCTCCCTCCACCAGACAAACGTTTAACATCATTTAGTTACCAAAACATTATCACATAAAAACACTTTTGATTTTAATAATGCATTCGACTCGGATTACACCGACCCTCGATAAGTATCCCCTCTTACTGAAATTCACTCTGCGCTCACAGATGGCGCATTAGCATGAAGACTTTTTCTCAAAAGGTCCCCATGAAACCAGACGTATCTCGTAAAAACTAAACTCAATACTCGAATCGGGGAAAAAAATTAAACCGACCGATTTCTGCTTCCAGACAAACACAAATCGTATCACATAAAGGACGAGCAGTTGTCGCGCGACGGTTTCAAAAAATTCATGAAGAACGAGGCGTGCCCTTTCGAGCAGTGTCGTTTCTCCCGAGTTTGCAATCACATTCACTGCATCCGGCCTCACTGCAACTACGTCCTCCACTCATCCGGTCAGCTATTCTCCCACAAGCGAAAGCACGAGCGTCACGAGTCGGAGCTAGCTTACCGAAAGTACAAGCAAGTTGGCGGGGTAGGTATCAGGCCACCAGTGTGGACACCTGAGGACATGGGTCCACAGAGTCTCTCACTGAGTATGAACGGTGAGAGTTCGAATGAGGGCCGAGGCTCGCCTTCCTTCTACTCCCTGGAGGACTCCTTCCAATCAGCTAGCGATCTCGCAATGGACCTAACAGCCTCAACAACAACCACAAATCCCAGTTCCTCGATACAAATCGATCCAAGTCCCAGTGCACCTCAATCCCCCCAACACCTGACACCCGCTGAACTTGCGTACCTCGCCCCAGCTTCGTCAGACTGTCTCTGTCAGAACGGCAGAGATCACTACCACTGTGCGCTCGATCGTTGCGGTGCAACTCTGAGAAATCCAACTGAAGTCCGTGAACACCTTCGAGAGCACGAGACCCAAGAACGAATAACCGATGCCTTCTTTGAAGAAGGCAACTGCGACGATTCGTGTCCCTACGCAGACAAAGAGAAACATTATCACTGCACGTGGGAGAACTGCAAAGAGGTCATCCTTGCAACTGACAAACCCTTCAGAAGACTCCAGCACTATAAAATTCACGAATACAGCAGACAATTGAACCTTAACTCAACAACCCAAGTTCTATCGTCCGACGTCACTTTGACCCACCTGACAAACATTGACGCCATGTTCAGGCGAAAACGTGGCCGACCACCAAAGAATCGTGTTATTGAGATTTGGTCAGGTGGTGATCCATCACACACACAAGACACACCACAAGCTATATTCACAAGTTTCAAACTGCCAAAACCCAATCCTACAAATCCTAATCCACAAATTGATGAGCACGAGGAGAGTTTATCGCCAGTTCCTGATGATACCGATGGCTTCTCCACCTATAATCCTGACACCTGTCCCGATCCAGTCTGCGTGATTAGAATGACAAAACATCATCACTGTTCCCAACCAAGATGTCACTTCTCCACAGATAGGCCAGATCAACTGCTCATGCACAGCAAGGATTTTCATGATAATATCGACATACCACCGGGTTTTGCATTCTACGACAAAATGGTGGACTGCAGATTAACGGGATGTCACAGTAACAGAGTGCACAGGCATTATCACTGTACAAGGCCCAATTGTGGTTACTCATTTGTCAGATATTCGACAATAGCACATCATGAGAAACAGCACATGGGGATGAGTGATGCTACTGAGGGCACCACTGATGGACTAAGTCAAGGGGGTCTGGAGGTTAAGCCCAGAATTCAGGTGAAGAATACTGCGGAGCTAATCGATAAAGTCGACGATGACGAGAGTAGATTGGTCATCGAGGTGAAAGAGGAATTGCCTAGTCCTGATGGAAACAAAACAACTGGTAAGTTCCTTGGGTTAGGTAGGCACGAAGCTCGCACCCTTATCTAGGTTTTTTTTTGTACTTAGTGTGGTAGATAGGGAGGGATTTATCGTTCACAGGGACACTTGCATGAAAGTCTGCACGAATTTGCACTCTCCATTTTTCAATATCAAGGAGAACTTCACTCTCTTCATCCACCACAATTCATTATCTCCTCAGAATAAATCGAATCTTTATCATGGAAAACGCATTTTGCATCACAAAGTGACATTAGTTGGTTGTTTGTAATTATAATAGTTGGGCGGTATATTTGAAGTGTTGGTTGTTTTGGTTGATTGTTGCTAGTGGTGAGGGCGGCAGGCACCTATTATCCGGTCAGCGGACCGACGAGCGAACCCGCACTACCGGGCGCCATGCTATCCATCCGGGCTTCCGTGCACCAAGGTTCGTGCCACCTTTCCTCCTTCAATTCCAAGAAAAGAGATCAACGTTATCTCTGAAAAATGATAAAGAACAAATTCGGGAATTTCGCTCAATGACGGATATCTAATCGCCCCATTTTCACAATTCCAGAGACACCAGTGCTTCCGTCAACGAGTTCATCCTCCTCCCACACCCTCTACGGCCCTGAGCAAAGTTGCAGCCGTCCATTTTGCAAATTAAAACGAAAGAATCATTACCACTGCAACGCCTGTAATCAAGCATTCTCCGAGCTCGATCGCCTGGTCGCTCACATCGCGAAACACTCGACCGGTGCTATTCTATCCCAACAGCAGCACGAACTACCCCAGCAACCGCAAAATCCCCTCCCCCACGATTACCTAGCGCAACTGTCCGCCCAAAAGCACGACTTCATGTCTCAAAATGTCCAGATGGCGCAGAACATTCAAAATTTCCAGAATATGCACCGCCAGATGCAGCAGAGTCTCTCCCAAATGACTCAACAGCCACCGATCAAGGAGATAAAACTAGAGTCCCCGCGTCACGAGTCCAATAACCAAAACAATGTGAAAAGAGAGCCTGACATTCTCCGCGAGGAGAACCACCACCACATGGATAACAATGAAAACGGCCAGCTCCAGGTGCCCCCTACTACCTCGGTCCCAGGTTCAGTACCAAGTGGTTTTGAGCTTGATCTCAGCCACGGCTTTCATTTCCCTAGTCCCGCAGTAATGGCCGCCATGAACCAACAAATAGCGTTGATGAACCAGGCACTTCCTCCATTTCTGCAACACGGCGGAATGTACGCAGGGGCGCCAGGCCTGATGTTCGCCCCTGGGATTCCCCCAGGGAACTTCCTGCCACCAGGAAGGGACGAGAATCCCCTAGCCTCTCTGGCGGCTAACTTGAATCTCAATAAGAGATCACTGTCTCCCCCTGACGTCAATTCCGCTGAAGCCAAGAAACAGAGGCTGCATCACTCCATGAGAATGCTCAAGGACGAGCCGGTGCCTGAGGGCTACGTCAGGTTCAGGTTCAACGAGGACTGTAGGTACCAGCATTGTGGCTACAGGGAGCATCAGACACATTTTCACTGTATGCGACAGGACTGTGGCTACTCCTTCTGCGATAAAACGAGATTTGTTCAACATACGGCTAGGCATGAGAGGTTAGACACACTCATGGGTGGGGATTTTCAACAGTACAGGGCGAATGTACCTTGTGGCAGGGCTCAGTGCGCCTACACGTCATCCCTGGGATCGATGCAGAATAAGGCGTCTCACTTTCACTGTCTCAAATGTGACTTTGTTTGTACTGATACTAATAAAGTAGTCGCACACAGAAGGCAACACGCCAAGTTGGATAATATTGCGGCAGCTGGCTTTCAAAAGTTCACACCGAGTCAACCCTGTGGTGCTGGGCAGTGCCAGCATTCCAGGAAACAGACGCATTATCACTGCCTTCAGTGTCAGTATGCCGTACTAGGTCTTGCGCAAATGTCTGCGCACAAGTATCGGCATATGGATGCGTAAGCTAGTGAGTTTAGTCATTTAAAATTAGGGGAATCCCCGTTACGAAATGAGGATTTTTGACAATTGGTGAAGCTTCATGAATTCTCTTGATTCTTGTATCAATCTTTGGAACTATTTAATCCAGTTTTTACCATGAGAAAGAAAAACTAGAGAAGAAAAGTTATGAAAAATGCAAATCGTACTGAAGTGTTTCTAGAGGGGTTACAAAAAAATATGAACACCCCTATGGCACGAGAGGTTAGGCACACTCATGGGTGGGGATTTTCAACGGGATTTTCAACAAATCTATCTTGTGGCAGGGCTCAGTGCGTTTACACATCATCCCTGGGATCGATGCGGAATAAGGCGTCTCACTTTTACTGTCTCAAATGTAACTTTGTTTGTATTGATACTAATAAAGAAGGCGCATACAGAAGGCAACACGCCAAATTAGATAATATTGCGGTAGCTGGCTTTCAAAAGTTCACACCGAGTCAACCCTGTGGTAGTGGGCAGTGCCAGCATTCCAGGAAACAGAGGCATTATCACTGCCTTCAGTGTCAGTATGCCGTACTAGGTCTTGCGGCATATGGATGCGCTATTTAGTGAGGTTAGTCATTTAAAATTAGGGGAATCCCCGTTACGAAATGAGAATTTTTGACAATGGGTGAAGCTTCATGAATTCTCTTGATTCTTGTATCAATCCTTAGAACTATTTAATCCAGTTTTTACTATGAGAAAGAAAAACTAAAGAAGAAAAGTTATGACAAATGTAAATCGTACTGAAGTGTTTATAGAGGGGTGACAAAAAAATATGAACACCCCAATGGCACGGGAGGTTAGGCACAATCATGGGTGGGGATTTTCAACAGTACGTGGTGAATTTACTTTGCGACAGGGCTTAGTGCGCTTACACATCATCCCTGGGATCGATGCAGAATAAGGCTTCTCACTTTCACTCTCTCAAATGTAACTTTGTTTGTACTGATACTAATAAAGTAGTCGCAGACAGAAGGCAACACGCCAAATTGGATAATATTGCGACAGCTGGCTTTTAAAAGTTCACGCCGAGTCAACCCTATGCTGCTGGGCAGTGCCAGCATTTCAGGAAATGGACGCATTATCACTACCTTCAGTGTCAGTATGCCGTACTGGGTCTTACGGAAATGTCTGCGCACACGTATGGGCATATGGATGCGTAAGCGAGTGAGGTTAGTCATTTAAAATTAGGGGAATCCCCGTTACGAAATGAGGATTTTTGAAAATTGATGAAGCTTCATGAATTCTCTTGATTCTTATATCAATCTTTGGACCTATTCAATCCAGTTTTAATGATGAGAAAGAAAAACTAGAGGGGAACTAAAAAAAAATTATGACGAATGTAAATCGTACTAAAGTGTTTCTAGGGGTGTTCTAAAAAAATAGATAACTACAAAGAGATGTGTATAATTAATCGTATTTACAAGCAGTATTTAGAAACACGAAATGATAAAAGACTGTGGCTGACGGTTAAACGTTTAAAATTAGAAGAATTCAGCCATCTTTTCTTTTTCATAAAGAAAATCAGGAATTGAAAAATAAAAATCGTGAAGTTGTTCTTGTTCTGTACAACGAGAGATGTATATCAAGCATAGTATATTGGAAAATAATATACTCTAAAATGTTAATTCATTAAATATAGAGGGGATTTTAGTAGGAGTGTGAATATATTATCTGATAAAATATAATTTTAATTATTTGAAGAACACGAGGGAGCGTGCGTTTTACGATTAATCGATGCTCAACACGAGATCCAAGTCCTCTGATCTGACTCGAAACGACTAAGAACCTGAAAATGAGAGAATATTGAGATATTTAAAAAAAAGACAACATATTTTTTGAATACTAGCCTTTTCAGAGTGATAGGGTGCCTTTAGAGTTGCATCATCCTCATTCTTTCTCTTGAATTCCTAGAAAAATGAACATAATGCGTGCCTTATCAGCAACGCAGAAACAATAATTAATTTAAGACTCGATTTCTGAATAAATCCGTAACTTACGTCAATAATGAGCTAAATTATTGTGGACTTAATGTGCTAGTGCCTTAAACGAAAACATAGTAGGTATTCTCAAGCCTGAAAATAATAACGGATCAATGAGAAATCCATCCATCTCTGAATTTTCCTGAAGACAAAAGAGACAAATAGTTGAACCAACTTTAACCAACTAGTTTAGAGGAACGATTTTTACATTAAATAGTAGCCATTCCATAGGAAGTACACACTGATAGTCATCCCTCCAACCAATCAGGTTTTACGATTGAGCGAATAGGAAAAAAAATTGACAGCTCAGTGAAAATGCGAGGAGAAGGCAATACGAACGAGTGAATTTCAACGCAAAAACGTGAATGACCATGATACGTTGTGGTATTCCAGGTAATTCAAGAATACCACATTATGTTTTATCAATTCTGTTTCTGGTTGAAACAACTGTGCGATAAAAATGGGTATTCCTGGTTAGGTTGGATCATAGGAAGCCATACGAGTGCCATACCACGAGTAAACACGATTTAAAATAATTATTCTTAGAAGAATGACGGGGTGATCGTGGGGCGTAAGGTGCGGGAATTCATGATCAATGACCATTTTAGGTGATACAACAAAATGGCGGATGTTTTTTTAGTGGTTGTAACATATTTATTTAGAGGTTAGAAAGGGTTTTCTTTTGTTTTTTTTTCTTTTGTACAACGAGTCTTGGACTGGTTTTCGACTTTTTCCCCCTGATTGAATATCATGTATCGCCCGTTTCGAGACCGATGAGGTGAAGTAAATGATTAATGTGGTAGATGTATCCTAGATTTTAACGAGAAAGATAAAAACATGAGAGAAAAATTGTATGGGTATAAGTATTATTACATAAAATCATTTTAAAATGAGTGACAATTGAGGGACAATTGCGTCATGCGTATTTTAGTGACAGAAAGATACGAGAAAAAGCTATTATTGTAATTGATAATTTTATCTATTGTATCATTATTGATTAATATCATCTATTATATTATACATAATTAATTATTATTGATAAAACACACACGAACACAAACACCTTTTATGTAGCTGTGATTTTGCTTTGAAAAAGTGAAAATTAAACAAAAATATGATATTTATAGCAACAACGGAGACGATTGGGTTTTTGTATTTATTTAGAATATGACTGTATTCGTTCATTCGGTGTCCCAGCCTTGACCATGAACTCTTACCGTTTAAGTTTTTATTGAGGGGGGGGAGTGGCCTTTTGGCTGGTGAGAGTGCATTACGACTGGTCACGGGAGCACTAAGGGAGACAAAATGTTTCCTTGAAGAGATCTTTTGTCGTGTTGAATCAATTTTACTCGTAGACAAAAAAAAAGTTTCCACCAAAAACATGAAAATTTTCGAAGCATTAAAATTTCTCCTCCAGGCCATTTCGCGGTTCCCGGCTATTTTGACCTCCACAATGAATCAAAACAAAAATCCATTTACTTTTGTCAATGTTTCGAGTGGGAAATTTCACTCCTCATCAGGGCAATTCATTTCAGTAGCGAAGCGGTAAATCGGATCAAGGCGATTTCAACTTTTCGCAATTCTTCGATGAATATCTCGGAATCTAAGAGAGATCGCAAAATTTTACTCATAAACTTCTTTATAACCCTCAGTTGGCTCTACAAAAAAGGTCGTGATAAAAATTTTTATATCTCTTTTAGATTCCCAGATATTCGTCAAAAACTAGCCAATAATCAAAATCGATTTAACCCGGTTTACCGTTTCGCTATTGAATTATTCTCGTCCACTTGAAAAACGAAGAACATACAAAACATTACTATCCATGTCTTCTTCAATATTTACACTTCAATTTTCCACTTGAGATTCTAGATTGAGAGATATCAAGTGATTCAAGAGTCTTTAAATGAATTTAATAATTCGTTTTTTCCTATCTATCTAAGAAACCTATTATTAACTTGAACAACTTCTTTTCAACATAAGGACCGGCAAAACATGAACAAAAAATTGCCACCTAGTCCTGTAAAATTCCAGCCAATATACATCAACCTATTTATCAGTTCCATCGACATTATTTACTCTAAAAAATCTTTCGGGTAAATACATATCCCCCTTAATCCATGAACTTCAATAATGTAAGAAAAATTAAGCGAGGGAATTGAAAGGGAGAGGGCAGGGGAAAACGTTAATATCAGTATGAATGCTTCGGCCACCTTGTCCTGTTATGAGAAGAGAGCACGACAATTATCTGTTCCATGTCTCTACTCTGTCTATTTTTAGCTCTCCATTCGTGACATCTGTGCATTCTGTACAGATACCGTGGACAAATGGAAAGAAATTTTAATATAAAGAGAAAAACGTCTTTTCTTCGGGTTAATGTCAATGCGATGTAAACAGCTGACATTCCAATTCCATCCAATCAACAATTAAACTCTTTTCCGACGCGATATTTTTTACAAGATGCATCATGCCGCAGACGCGTGATATCTCACGTGCGTTAACGCACATGTAATACAACTAGAGTTAATAATTCGGGTTATTGACCCTGAAATTGAGCATTTTTTCTGCTCGGAAGGACTGAAACTTTTTTTGATATCAGGTTTTATCGTCTGGGCGACTTCCTGGTGATAATATTTTCGTTTGACACGTGTAGATTTAATGTCCCTAGAAAATATGTAGAAAACAGGGTTAGGAAAGAGTGGACTTTGACGACAGACTTCTATAAACAGCAGCTTATAATTTTGAAAATTTCGATGAAAAATACATGAAAAAATTCAGAGATGCAGTTTGAAATATGAATAAAATGACTTCGCAGTTTGAAGTAATTCCAATTATTTCTTCCCCTTCAAAAAAATTCACAAAAAAAGCATAAAAATAAGCCTCCTAGTGTGCTTTCCCTCCTTAATTCAATCAATTGATTAACAAATAATTTTTTATTTGATTCAAACAGTTATTGTTGCCTTCATCAAAAGCATATGAGGATAGAAAAACCCAATAATTTATGAGAATGCAATAAATTGAGTCATTTAGAATTTCTTTCGGAAATCCATAGGGATTAACTTTTGGGTGGTACTATCTTGAGATCTACCTTAATTTGCTGTCAGGTGCCCAATGTATTGTTTCACTCATTTCATATAAATTTACATGAAAACATGAGAGATAAATTAATGAACAGAGATATGTTGTCAACAATTATTACATATGTTGTTAACTATTATTCGAAAAATGTCATAAAAATTTTTCGAATGGACTTTGACTGTCCAACGTCCACGATTTGTTGTCTCACTTACGTAATTCCCCTAATAAACACTGGCTAATGAACGAATTATCAGAGACATTGGGATTGCGATCAAATTCCGTATTTCATCATCGAAATTTGTCCCGTCTGGCGTGAAGCGTCTAGCCACGCGTTCTCCCCACCACAATTTTATTCCAATCGTCTACTCCTTCGGAGACTTTCCGATAAATAAGAGTTTTGATAAGATAAATTTACTCGTGGCGCATCTGTCTAGACTCACGTTCACGAGAACAGTTTTTATAGGTCATTTGGACTGAAACTGGTGATGACATTGACGAACTCAGTTTGAGTGGACGCTGGCTGGCTTAGGGGCATGAGGTACGCGAATGATGCGAGTCCAAGGTGCTCAATGATGAGTTAAGAGGCTTCGGGAGGAAAAAAACAACTAGTGAAATGCAGGGGGAACTTTACGCCATGAGGTCTCGGTCAAATCGGGATGAATAAGTCGGAGAGATGGCTTAGAAAATTTGTTCATGTCGTAGAAACCAGATCGACTTAGTCGAGGGTAATGTGAAGAGGATAAGCCATTTTAATACATGTTCAAAAATACGAGGTGGGCACGCCGCCATGTTTAAAGCCCTCTGCGGCAGAGGGAGGTATTCAAACAAGATGGCGGCGTCCACAGTCAATCACCTCGTATTTTTTAACACTAGCGCCCCGGTTGATGCCCTTTTTCCTGGCAGATTCCATATTCTTTTTTCAATTGATTGTTAAAAATCATTTCCATTGCAAAAAGCAATACGATGAATGAGAATCAGATGTTGCAATTTATCAGCTGTTAAATTTTCATATTACAATAAATGATTATCTCGTGTTTTAATTCTTATGGTGACTGAATAAGATTTTAATCATAATTAATATTCAATTTAGACTGTGAATTTCTGAAATTCAATGTTTGGAATATTGAGTCGCATCTTCTTTTTATTCATATCAGAAGTTGTGTAGTTGTACATTAATATTATTTGTTCAAAGTGGATAAATCGATCATCATTTTCACTATATTGCATTCAGATTCTCCAATCATCAACGGGAAAAATGTGGGATAATCTCATAATTCTAGCTATTACTTCTAATCAACTTTGTTCGAAGAAAATTTTGGTAAACGCAATATTAAGAAAGTAGAATTATTCTATTTGCCTCTGGCCTAACTGATTTTAAATTATGATTCGTTTATTCATGTTTCATAGAATAGTATTCAATTCTCTTTTGTTTATGTAGGCGTCATGAAAATTCAACGCAAGACGATTGTACCCATGAAAACCGCCTTACTTTCTCCATTCGTTCGAGATATCCGCCATGTTCGAGTTCTCGTTTTCGATTCGAGATATTGCCCACGCTTTTTTTAAAAGAATTTCTTGAAATTATTTATCCTCTTTATGTCCCCTTCAACCCGTTTCATCCAGTTTGGTAGAAAAATAAATTTTTTTAAATGTTATCTTTCAGTTTTTTTCACTCTCGAAGCCGTTTTTACAATCCACGAGAGCTAGAAAATTTTTATGTACATTTTTTTTTGTAGAGCACACCGAGAGTTACAAAAAAGTCCCTACAATATTCTCGGTATATTCAATGGACTGGTGATACTCCCCTTCGGAAAATCTGCGCAAAATCCGTCATTCGCAGAAGCTACCAGAACAAACGCTAACAGTTTTAACTAGCTCCAAGGGTCTCAATTGTTATTACCCCAGTAATCAATAGATGCCCTGTGCGTGCAAGCCGTTCACGTACGCAAGAGAACCGGTAATACTCAATACAAACTACCACAACATCCACTGATGAGTCCATTTGCTACGACCTTGTCAGATTTATGACGCAGACAGACGGGCGATCGTCCGTGTTCTTTCGCCGTTACGGGCACGCAATTCAGGGGTCCTCGCGTCATTAATGTCCTTTTTCAATGGACAAGTCACGAAAACGAATGCCGATTTATGAAAATTGCATCTTTTTTTATTGCTGAATTATGAAAATATGATTCTGAATCAGGACAAGTGGGAAATTGCTCTTTTATTCCATATAGGGGAGGGTGGGGCAAAACGGCCCCCCTTCAATTGTCAATAACTTGTGAATGACATTGTGAAAATTCCCAGTTTCAACTTCATTTTGAAGATAATTTTTCATTCTTCAAAACGAGCTCTAACTCATCCCAATCGGATTATTGAATCGGAAAATATTGACGATTGAAGGGGGACCGTTTTGCCCCATCCTCCCCTAGTATAGTTATTTTTGATAATAAATTAGTAATGTCTCCGAATGGTTATTTTGTACATCATTTCCTTCTATCGTATATAATTTATTGTTTATTTCATTTTATTAAATTGAATAAGATTTCTTTTCAACTAATTTTGCCCGATTTTCCACGTAGTTGAATGTTATCATCATCATTTTACGGTTCTATCTCTCCTCTCAGCCCTTCGATAAAATGTTCATAGAAAATTTTTATTTATACATATTGAATGAATTTGAAACATCACATTGGAAGAAATCATCAGAAAGCTCACTTTCCGGGCAATTCATGAAATAATTCGAAGTTTTCAACAATCATCATGAAAATTAAATCAACCAATATATCATAATCATCTTTCAACTTCGACTTAATGGTATTAAAACAAACATTTTAAGCTATGATGGGATTCATTTGAAGCATGGTATTCAAAAATATCCTCGGAATTCCGAATTTCAAAAAATTCAACATTTTTGCAAATTTTCAAATAAATCAACATAACGATTATTGCTATCGCCTTCATCTTAAAACTCGGTCAAAGGACATCCAAACAAATTTTTTAAGCCATCATTCAATCAATTCAGGACATTTTTTTTAGTTGTCCTGGCCCAACCGATTTTCGAAAAAATTGGAAAATAAAAAAACTAATAGATGAATGAAAATTGAATTAATGGCGATTAATGAGGCTCAGCAATACCTACGTAAAAATAAACGATTCAATGCGGTTCATTCATTAGCGAACAATTGAAGAAAAACTATGCTACATACGTACACACATACACACACTTATGGACGAGGTCTGACAATTGCCTTTTTCGACTTTTTGCATCACACTGAATCGATATTAACACAAAAAATCCAACACTTAAATTTGAACGAATAAAAAGCTTCCATTCGGAAGCAAAAATGAATGAAAATTTTCTGGTATTTTACAATTTATTATTCACTTCAGTATCTCGAAGTGATCTAGAAATATTTTGTAATTTTATTTTGTGTATTTTGAGGTATTTATCTAGGACTGTCGTATCTATGCAAATTTTCATGTTCTATTTGTACAGTGACACCCATGCGGGATCAACGTATCGTTGCATAATGGTCTCAGTCGTGAGGTAAAGTACAATGACGCATCGACTCATTTCTGCTATTTCATTTGATTCTCATTTTCGTGATCAGCAATCCGGTCAACTATTCTTGAATGAAAAATTCTAAAAATTTCCACAACAAAATTTGCACAATTTTGTTATCAAATGTCATTGGATCATCAACATTTTATTACAATAACTTTTTTTTTGCGTCTACTCCGTTGATATTTTTTTCTACAAAGGTCGAGTCGTCCACACATGCTTCACCTCGTCCGTCATAAATCTCGAATTATCCAATTACCAAGTGCAAAGGACAATATTACATCAGCTCGACGCATTGTCAACCTCAATAATTCATTGAATTGAATTGTTCATCCAGAGAACTGCAATCGCGGTTATTGGCTGAATAAAAATACGTCTGTCACAATAATTTTTTCGTAACTATTCTCATCTCATCAGTAATTGATCTCTGACAGTGAAAATGTACGCATCATTGGTTCTTCCGACAAATTTTTCCCAGAAATCTTATGGCCCTGAAAAATTACAATAGGAGCTACATGGCAGCATTTTCTACAGGAAAAAAAATTACGATAAAAAAATTACGATAAAAAAAGTATTTTATTTTTTTTTATTTTAATATTTTTAGAACGTTTATTTTGAAATTTGTTTCTGCTGATAAATGAATAATTGTTCATTGCGCAGAGTAAAAAATATGTCTGTCACAATAATTTTTTTGTAATGAACTATTCTCATTCCATCGGTAATTGATCCCCGACCCTGGCAAACTGCAATAGGAAATACCTGAGCACATTTTTTACAGGAAAAAATTTACAATAAAAAAGTAGTTTAGTTTTTTTCATTTTAGTATTTCTTGAAAGTTTATTGTTAAAGTTGCTTCTGGGGATAAATGAACAATTGTTCTTTGAGGAGAATAATAATAAGTCGGTCACAATTTTTTTTTGTACTGAACTATTCTCATGCCATTGGTAATTTATCTCTGCCACCGTAAATATATGCATCATTGGTTTTTCGAATAAATTTTCCCCAGAAATCTCATGGCCCTGGAAAGTTATAATCGGAAATACATGAGAACGTTTTTTAGAGGAAAAAATTTACGATAAAAAAAATTTGTTTTCAATTTTTGTATTTTGAGATAGTTTATTTTTAAATTTGCTTCTGCGGATAAATGAACAATTGTTCATTGAGCAGATTTTTCTTCCAGCACACGATGATGATGATTCATCATCGGCCCGGCCTATTGGGAAAATTTCCACAGCGCGTCTATTCCTGCGATGACCTGCCTCAACAGTTTTCTAGACAGCCATGAACATGAAACGTGAATGGAATTTTTTTTCAATGGAAACTTTTTTATTTTCGTACGATTGCATATGAATGTCATTTATACAACCTTGAACTATTTCAATGACTTATCATCAATTGGCGAGAGCATTGATGATTTGTTTAAACTGAGCTGATGCTCAGAACATGAAGAAATTGATTTTTCACTCGTTTAGATAGAAGCTATCTTAATGCGCTTTTTTGCGCGTTCACAAGTCTCAATCTCCATGTTTTTATTACCAATATCAATACCGAAAAAAGTAAATTTCAACAACTGTCGTAAAAATTCTAATCTCATCGTGAAATGCATGAATCATTGATTATATTAGAAAAAAATTGCGATAAACCAGGGTTGATCGCTGCTGAGCGCGTGATTCTGGGTTAAATGCAAAATAAAAAATTGCAGATTTTCCCCAGTATCTTATTAGTAGAATTCCAATGATGCAATATCAAAATGGAAAATCGCCGAACGTTTAAACGGAAAAGCTTCCATTGATTTTGCGGAAATTCCTCCAACTTGATTCCCGTAAATTGGGCCTAGGAATTACGTCTTAATATGAGGCCCAAAAATTGAACAAATAATTACATTGACAAATTAAGCTACGGAGTAGGGCCCAAAAATTATGTATTAATAGAAAGCCCTAAAATTAAACTTGAAAAATTCCACAGAAAATTCCAGAACAGAAATCAAACCGGGAAATTAAGCGGACACTTACTTGATTAGTCCCAAAAATCATATTTTAATTTAAGACCCAAGAATTGGGCCTAAAAATTCCACAAAAATCCAGAACAAAAATCACATTGGAAAATTAAGCCACTTGATTGGGCCCAAAAATTGAACCATAGGATTGGGCCCAAAAATTTGTCTTAATATAAGGCCCAATAATTGGGCCTAAATATTCCGCTGAATGATCGAGACCAGAAATCACACCGGGAAATTAAGCCACTTGATTGGGCCCAAAATTGGATTCAAAAATTAATCCATGGAATCAGGCCCAAAAATGAAGCTGTAGACTAACCCCAGACCATTATATCTACAAATGAAGCCTTGAAATCGGAATAAATCCCAAAAATCCCCTTGCAAATCTGACCGATAAAATTCCACTCATAATATTATATTTCGTAACGAGTGCAAAAAACATTTTTTCACGAGTTACGAACAATATTTTTCATCACAATGTGCGGAAATTGGACTTTTAGACACGCGGAGCGTGCCGAAAAGTTTACTTTTCGTCACAGCATGATGAAAATTAAATTGAACAATTAATCCGAGCAACAGACCTTTTAATTCTGGAAATCCAGGGGAAGTATTTACTCCGTTCATCGAACTGAAAAATCCTCTAAAAAATTATGGAAAAATTCTCATAATATTGAGATTTAAGATGGCATACATTTGACCCCTAAAAAATGATGATTGATCCGCAAATTCGGTAAGTGTCCGAAGTCCGAAACAACAAGGGGACTTGATGTAGGAAAAGAAGTGTCCAAAAATCTAGTGACTCAGTGTGAAAGGTCAGTGTTAAAGGTCTACCCCGAACTTCAACTAATGCCCTAATCTCAGTTGGACTTGGTCCCTGCCAGCTCCCGAATCCCAAAGCCCCCACGTGCACAGGACTCCCTCCCCGGGAAATTTACCGAAATCATTCAGCAATCACGTGTACAGCGCTGGCCGTCCACGTGATCCCCACACTGCCCTGCTGCGTCGTTTACGTTTGAAGGGTTCTCGAATAGCCCAGATAAAAAAGGGAAGCCCAACTATTGGCCAAGGCTAGCGAGACCGGCACCGACGGACCAATCAGAGCCCTAGAATTAAATAATAGTTCTGCCGGACGGCGGTACGGCGCTGGTGTTCGTCACCTCTATGAGAGAATCGACCAGCCTCGTCTCGCCGAGTCGCACCTCAGTTGTTGTTAGCCTCTCGTGTCTTGTGGACGTGTTCCTCAGTCGCCTCAACAATCGAGGCAGAACATTTATTCGAAAACAATCGCACATCGAAGATTGAACATCTTTTGAGACATTAATTGCGTCGCGAAGAATCCAACGAGTGTCAGCTGGTGGTGGACATTAAATTACTATGGGAATATTTCGTGAATTTCCAATAGTTTTCAATCTTTATAAGAAGTACAGTTAGACGGTACGAGTTTGAGGTATTGTTTTGGTGGTTATTGAGGCTGTGATCGGGTGGAAAATACGATACGAGGGGTACCAGCAATATTTTCAAGGTGAGATATTTTATTTTATTTTTTCTGGCGTGGGACTGGGGATGGGAATATCCGCATCGGTAAACCGAATGGCCGACCAACGGAATCGGGTGTTTATGCATCCGACTGGGGATGTGCGAGGGGAATTCTACCGTAAGGCGACCTCAGATACCTGGGGGGGGATTTATTGCGATGTTCCAGGGGTTTTTGGGGTTATTGATTGGACGTGGGATTTATTTAAAGTTGGGGATTCAGGAATTGAAGGATATCTTGGGAAGGAGTCGCTTTATGCGAAAATGTCAAATACATTTTTTGTGAGATATTCAATTATCTACAAAAAAAGTCTTATGGAATTTTTTGATAGAGTCAATAGTTTCGGAGATATTCGCGAAAATGGGATGAAGATTTGATTTTTTGGTCATTGAGGCACTTCACAGTATTTTCCAAATATCTCGGAAACTAGGGGATTCACAGAAAAATGTTCAGAAAACTTTTTGCAGAGAATAAAATTACCCACAAAAAGAATTCCCAACATTTTTTCCCTAGAATGAATATTTACAAAGATAATTCCGTAATTAACAAGAAGTATTATATCTTGAAACTATCTCCAAAAAATATTCATTTGCCTTTCAACATTCTCAGCTCTTTTGTCCATCAATATTTGCCTGCTCCCCGATAACTCTTGCATATTAATAAAACATCGCAATACAAGAGCGAATGCAAAATAATCCTCCAATGATTAATCTAAAATGAAGTACAAAAATTGAAAATTCAGGGATTGGGAAATATTTTTAGACCGAGTCGCTTTGCGGAAAAATGTCATACCCATTTTTTGTAGGGAATTTAATTCTCTACAAAAAAAATCTTATAGCATTTTTTGCTAGAATCCATACTTTCGGAGATATTCGAGAAAAATAGGATGAAGGTCTGATTGCTTGTTCATTGAGGCACTTCACAGTATTTTCCAAATACCTCAGAAACTAGGGGATTCATCGAAAAATATTCCCAAAACTTTTTGCAGCGAATAAAAGTACTCACAAAATCTTTCCCAACATTTTTTCCCTAGAATGAATATTTACAAAGATAATTGCGTAATTAACAAGACGAAAATATCTTGAAATTCTTCCTAAAAAATGTTCATTTCTCTTTCAACATTTTCAACTCTTGTGTCCATCAATATTTTCCCTATTCCCCGATAACTCTTGCATAATCCCCATATGAAAAAAAAATCATTGCAAAAGCGAATGAAAAATAATGCACCAATAATTAATCTAAAATGAAGTTCAAAGATTATCGGGAATCTCTCGTGTTGTGCACTCGGGCACTAATAAAATTTTTCAGTCTCGGATGTGAGTCCGGAGTGTAAACTTAATTAGCACGTGAATTCCGAGTGTCTTGAACCCTTTTCAAACCACCGAGAATCATTAACACCTGAATTTGTTCGTCTAACCCTGCTGCTATCACTCATCATCTCGTTTGAGCTGTTCACAAATGTTTATCACCTTTCTCCGCAGAACAAAATGAGTAACACCACATATTTTTTTCATCATCTTTTCCTCAACGGAATAATTATATTGTCGATGTACTATGAAATGTCTCTTGTATTTCAGAAGTGATAACCCAAACAAATACACCAAAATAAAAAATAAAACACTGAAGTTGGAAAATAGAAGATAAAAGACAACGGTTTTACCGGTGATAAATAATGACAGAAATAATGGAGGCTAGTAGGCTGTTATCTAAACCAACGCTAGTTCGTCGAGTTTCTGATCTATTCAAAGGTAAATAAACCCCATTGTATCAACTAAATTGTACACAATTGGATAATTCTGTAAATATCTGCATGAGAAATAGGTTTAGAAAAAAATGGCAGTAGTTTTTTTTTGTAGAGAATTTTATTACTTATAAAAAAGTTATTGTCCGATTTCCCGATTAATCCAATACTTTTCGAGACATTCCACGAAATACCACGGGAGATTGGCCCAAATATTATGTTCCTCAATATTTGCCCCGCAAATACATATTTTTTTGCTCAATCATTAACATAACATGTAAGGAACATGTAAATATTTTTTATTATATTATGCATGAATATTGAGAAATTCACGTTTTTTAAACCGTATCAGTGAGTAATGATTAAAAATGAAAAATTATTTGTCTAATCAGGAATTGCACCTGAATATTTTAGAGTAATCATTCAATCAATAATGAAAACTGAAATATTTCCATTATTCGTGCCGAAAGAAATCATTATTTTCTGTTTTACATTTCGCATTTATATGAATTTTGCACCATTATTGATTAAAAAATTATTTGCTTTATTTTTTATTTTCATTTCTCATTAGTATCGCAATGAAAATTACATTTGGTATTGTTACTTATTACCGAAAAAATCATAATGCAATGTTTTCGTTAAATTATGGAATGAATATTGAGAAATTCACATTTTTTAAATATCATGTGAATGATTAATAATAAAAAATAAAAAATTATTATTCATCTGATCAGGAATTACACTTGAATATTTTATAGTAATCTTTCAATCAATAATCAAAATTGAAAAATTTCCATTATTCGTGACAAAAGTAATCGGATTTTCTATTTTCCATTTCTATTATAATGACTAATTAATTGCGTTTCATTAATCATGACGAAAGAAATCGCTATTTTGTTTCTCATTTTGAATTCACATAATATTAAAATGAATTTTATACCGTTATTGATTGAAAAATTATTTACTCAATTTTTAATTTTCATTTCTCATTGGTATCGCAATAAAAAAACATTTGATTTTATTATTCATTACGAAAAAACTCATAATTCAATTGTTATCATTAACCATTGATACTGTAACGAAACAACAATGTACCTCAGTGTTAACAATGGAAATTATTTTCCTGTCGATCTCTGAATGCCGCATCCAAAAATACAAGATCGATTAATCATTGATCAATCGCCGCCCCAGAATGTTGATATCCAAAAATAATAAACGTGTCACTGAATGCCTCAAAACGATACCAAAATAGTTGTTTTGAGAGATGCAAATAAAATCATCCCCATCAGTACTACTTATCAAAAACTTTGATGTCATTTCCGAAAGTCATTAAATCCCCCCCGAGACCGATAACAAAAATCTCCATCACATTGTTTTTAGACACCCCGATAAACCTCAACACCAAAAACCGTGAGCCTCCCCACGCCAAAAATACATCTCGATCTCCCTCTCTCTCTTACAGACAGCAACACAAGTGGTTCACAGCTGTTCACGCACTCATCGATGCAGAAGCTGCGTCACTGCTGCCAGAATCTCAATCTCTTCCCCTATCTCCTGTACTCACTGGGAGATGTGAAAAACACAACTCAAAAATTGACGATAAATCAGTTGATCACAACATTCACAGATCGCCTCTTCCAGCTGTACCTGAACATTCGTCTGATTGTGCACAGCAAACTCCAGCCAGATCCTCAAAAATCAACGCAAGAGGCCAAAGGAGAAGTCAAGAAATTCACAAAATTCGAGAGACAGAAGAGAAAACCAAATTCCCTGCTGCTGATTCTAGCTGTTTATCTTGCACCACTGGTTCTCGTATTTCAACTAGTCGGCATTTTATCATTACTCGTATTCGGTAAATACACACCGGGCTTTGTTTTTCTACTGTCAGCTCTTCTTTTTCTCGGTTATATATCCATGAAAGTGCTGTTTCACGACAATGACAATCAGGAATATAAAAAACGGGCTAAACGAAAAATTGATTAAACATTCTACTCCGCAATCATTCGTAATTATTAATTAATTTTAGTTCTCACTTTTTGTATTTTCATCATCTCGTTCATATTTTTCATCCTCGAGTTTAATTTTATCGATAATAATTGGCTCATTGATGACCAGAGAACATTTAGGCTGCGTTGTTCATTCATTTTGATGATTCCAGAACAAGAGCAAGATATTGTGATCAGATCAATGTAATTAATGATCAATAGGCTACTTTCATTGGATTAATTACTATCGGTTATTTTAAATTAGGGCGTATACTTAATGGTGACATAATCACTGCTTCATACCATTTCTTTCGTCTGTTATCCATGTTTTTGTTCTTGTATTTTGTCAGCTCAAAGTGAGGTTTGATTTGAGTCACAGTGAAATAAATCTACGAATTTAAATGATGCGAATGTTGAATATGCAGCAATAAGACTGAATATAAAATATTACTGTGTAGTGTGGAAATACTGTTTTTTTTTTGTAAATATCTGAGGTATATGAGGAAGTGGTTTAAATACATTTAATTAATTCATGTATGACTTTTTATTGATTAATTCTAGTTAACAGTCACATTGAAGAATACTGAATCCCCTATGAAAATTCTGGAACACCAATTGCCAATATTTTTTACTGCACTCGTCATCATGTTCGGAAAAAAATGACAAAGATTAATTCTCTATTTTATCGATAAGACAATGATCTTATCGATAAAGTTGAAATCATCCATCTGATATCAGAGTGCTAATACTGATGTAAATACTGCGATTATCAATATTATCACGATGTGACTTTCCCTGGAAGTGTATGACTCATTGGAGTAGGGCCCTATCTTGGCACCGTACGCTATCACATGAGCCACGTAGTTTTGCTCGTGAGTTGAGTGGATTAAATGGGAAAATGGTCCTGCAACATAATTGGAGGTTAACAGTCACGTGTCGAAATTGTGATCGACTTTTTTTTTTCTCTTTTAAGAAAAGTCTTTTGAAAAAACCTGATTGGATTTTTTGTCATGACAACTGACCTCCGCCATATGTAGCCCACGTACTCACCTCTATTTTGGAAAATTTGTTTTGCTCCCACTCAAACAAAATTCGAAACGACTGTATCCTTGATACAGGAGTTGGACTTTACGTGGACACGACTGAGTTGTTATCTAGGAACTAAGTTGAATTTTTTAAGAAAATGTGCACATTTTCCATCTGCGAGAATTTTCTTAAATTTTTTGTAAAATCAGAGAATTTTCTCGAATTCTCGAAGACCGCTTGAGGGCTAACTCATGATAAAAACGGAGGTACAAATCCCACCATTAGGTGTTTGTACCTTCCTAGTCTATCCTCTTTGACCTCCCCGATGTCGTGTATAAGAAAAATGAAGAAAGTAGCTGATCATGAAATTGCCCATATTTGGAAGTTAGTTAAACCCAGGAGGTTGGCACCTCTGGGGCCGTTTTCCGAATCTGATACACAATTTCCTTAAGGGGTAACAGAATGCCCTTAATTTTCCAAATTTTTGAACAAATTTCCTGCTGAAAGTTATCGATACTAAAAAAAATCGAAGCACATTAATCTCCAGGAGGTGATGATGATGATCAATGTCTTTTGGGTTAAAAAAATATTGATAATTTTGAGCAGGTAATTTGTTTATTAAATTAAATTTCGAGAAAACGATGTCCTTCTGTTACCTCTTAAGGGTGTTGTTCCGAGAGAGTCACACTTGAAATTTTTCACGCTTTGGGCTGGTATCCCGCTAAACGGAGAACCCGGATTAAAACAAAAACTTTTGCTGATGTACAGTTCAACTTGGCTCACGCATACATAAATTGATTATACATGAATACGTGCGTATAAAGTTGACACCAAACGGTGTCGACAAGTGCCAGGCAATTACGCGCAGTGTGTCTCTCTGTTCGTGTGACTCCTAACCTGGCAGAATTTGTGGTTTGTTTTATTGAGTATTTTGCCACGTCTCTACTGAACTCACTTGTCCCGCCCATTGGGGAAAAAACTTTCTACGATGATTTCTCGAAAATGAAATGGTCAATCAATTTCATTTTTTTCAGTAGATTGATTAACACTATTTCTACATTGCGTTTTTTAAAATTAAAAATGTCGAGTTTTTTTTTTTTTTTGAAAACGGTGAAACTGCATTTAACGGGTAAAATTCAAGAAAATGTAACTCAAGTTTCAGATGGTCAGTTGGAATTATAATGGGTTTATTTTACAGCTAATTCTTAGAGCTATCTACAATAAATTTTTTTTTTTAAATGTCGAAAAAAAAAGTTACACGACAACAACCAACTCCAAATGAGGCGACTACGAGAGCTACATATGTCCATACGGAGGCGTATACCTATTCTGTGCATATTTACAAATATATGCACTACAGCAAAAGCAACGGAGCCATAAACCGGGTGGTATGGTTGTAGCGCGCATCATAACCTAGTAATGAAGAAGTTATTGAAACATGTGGTTGAGACTGCAAGAACTGCACCACTGCAAATCCTACCACTAGGCGTCTATACCTCGCCGATCCGTGTATGAGAAAAATTAAGAAAGTGGCTAATCATGAAATTGCCCATTTTTGTAAGTTAGGTTAACTTTAGCCGCATCAAAATCTAGTAATGAAGAAATTTTTGAAACGTCGTTTAGACTGCAACAACTGGCAGACTACCCCCCAACAATAGAGAAAACATGAAGTCAGGGGAGCGATTTTACTCGTTTTATGTCGACATAAAATCGTAAATTTCAACTGACAGTCCTGGATTCGGAATACTCAACTAGGATTGGTTGAAATTTATGATTTTATGTCGATATAAAACGAGCAAAATCGCTCCCCAGATTTCCTCCACTGACTGATTATCGAACGAATCAGTGAGTGACTTGATCACGGAAGTAGTAAGATCGAAGAGCGTACCTATTGCATAAATTGGAACATCACCGCCCCCGTGATAAGCCTCATCCGTGATAATGGCAGCTTGTTGACTATAAGTGAAGTCGCTGGTATTGATTTTCGTCGGATCGATTCTAGATGCTTTTCCATCTTTCACCTCGTAAGCCATGTTATTAGGGCCACCAGTGCCATAAGATAATATGGTGTAGGGAGTCTGATCCAATTTCGATTTTTGTGATATCCCTGAACAATTCAAAATGTTGGAATACGGAATGATATTTACAAATGGCGCCAGTAATTTTCAGTGTTAGGTCAGGAAGAAGTCTAAAAAGTCAACTTTATGTCCAAGGACGTAAAGTTGACTTTATATTTAGTATCTGCCTTCTTAAGGAACTTCGGCAGTAAGTATACTTGGTGAAAATTTCGAAATGGTATAAAGACGCAATATTTGGATCATATGTTGTTGAGCACATTCAAAAACTATTCCCAAAATTTCAAGTACCTTGTCCACCCCATTTTCGAGATATACATCGTCAAAAATGGAGAAAACACAAAAATTGAATGTTTGGCGATGCATATCTCAAAAAGGGGTGGATCAGGGACTTGAAATTTTGGGAATATCTTTTTAATGTGGTCAACAACATATGATCCAAATATTGCGTCTTTATACCATTTCGAAATTTTCACCAAGTATACTTACTGCGGAAGTACCTTAAGGAAGAAATGTTCAGTGTTATCGGATCGTGGCGTCACCCCATTTAAAATTGTACAGGTTTTGGCTATAAACCGCCAAAATCTGGCAACCATGGAAATGTTGGGGAAGAATAGTCATGGAATATTTGTAAGAATTTCCTATTGAGCTAGAACATTTACCTAGAATAGACGACCCCCTGTCACTATATCCATTGAACATCAAAGAATGCGAATGATCACTCGTGACAATAACCAAAGTATTATCAACATTCACTAGTCCCAAAGTAGTATTAATAGCATCGGAGAATCTGACTGTCTCTCTGAGTGCTTGTGCCGCATGTCCTCGATGATGAGCGAAGTCGATCAGTCCCCCTTCCACCTAGAAAGATCGATCTTCGTGACATGCATAAAAAATTCCCCTTAAATTGCGGTCATTACCACAAGTAAAAATCCCTTCTTCTCCTTCTGCAAGACCCTGACCGCCATTTTCGTCATCTCCTCTAGGCTGGGTTGACCTGCAGGCCCTGTATTTCTGTTCCAGTCCATGCTGATGTGTCCGTTAGCGAAAATTCCCATTAAGTAATCGACTTCCTCGGGATCAACGCTCCTCAACTCTCTGTTGTTCTGAACAAGTTTGTAACGGAGGTTTCTCTCTTCCTTGTCATTTTTCCAATATGAGAGTAGATCCCTTCCGTCCGAACTGTAACAGGCCCAGGTGTCTATCGGATCTGACTTGGTACCTGTCGCGTTGGACTTTAACATCTGCCTTCCACCACCCATGATCACTCTGATATTGGTTCCGGGGGAATCCTCAATTAATTGGCGCGCGATGTCTTTGCATGCTTTTGAGGATGTCGGTATTTCTCGCTCACATTCCCATTTTCTGTTGGGACAGTGGGCGTAAAGAGGCGCAGGAGTGGCATGAGTCACTCTCGTTGTGGTGACAAAGCCTATAGTCCGATAATATTTATCTTTACGATGTGAACTAATTAAAAGATGAGAGGACTCGATAACAAATTTTTTATTTCGTTAATACTTTGAGTTCTATTCATCGTAGGGTAATTTTTCAGAATTCATGACGAAGATGGGGTTATTTACCGTCAGTTTGACCGATCGCGTATCGCTACTTGACACAAATCTGCGGACATATCGGCATCTGTTCGAAAATCAGTTTTTAAGCGGTATCTTTTTTGCTCCTGATCAGAGAGCGATCCACGATCGATCAAATCGATGCGGAGTGATCTCACCTTTCATATGCACCGCGAAAAATTTCATTATAATAACTAGAACCGAAGATATCGCTAAAAATTCAAAATCGAAAAATTCAGATTTTTGGATAAATGGACCTGTAGCTTTACCAGCCCGTTGTGCCCACTCTATTACCGACTCCACGTGATAACTTTCATCCAAACTCCCCTCGCAGTCGCCCACACCGACATTGCTATCGAGACCCACGACCTGAGAATTTGTCTTGACACCACTGAAGAGCGCCGTTGCAGTTGATGCTGAATCAGGTACTTGTTTGTTGGTATTATACGTCTATCGGTAAAATCCACACAGGTTAAGATCTCATGAAAAAGATGGCCGCCGTCACGAAGATAACAAGATATTTCCAATGATGAAATCACTGACCTTGATAAGACCCACGTGAGGTAACTTTTCCCACGCGAGATAACTCGTCTCGCCCCTATGATAAATCCTACTAGCTGTGATGGTATCAATACTCATTCCATCTCCAACAAAAACAATAACGTTTTTAGCGGTTTTCTTGTTCCATTTGTGGGACAGTGACTCTTCAATCTCTAGTCTCGCTGAGTTCCTCCAGTAATCGGCATCTTTTTTTGGAAAAAAAAAAATTGAACATTATAAAGAATCGAGGTGATGAATTTTAAAAATTATCTTTTATTCGGCCTCACACACCTTCCAATGCAACTATCTGGTGGAGGTTCAGGAGTATTAGGATAAATTTGCTACACATGACGAAGTGATTTACTTCCGCCAACTAACTCAGCGATTCCTTTGGGCACGAGACCCTGCGTCAGCATTATGTAATGATAAGGTGGGCCGGAATTCATTACTTAGTTATCATCGCTAATGGACGACAGGTGATAGACGTCATTTTAGAGATTACGGGGATGACTCGGGGTTATTGTAATTCGGGTACGGGAGGTTAATTGTTGGTTTTTGAATTCTAAAATATTAGGATCGCGTGGAGGCATATTACGGCGGTTTCAGGAACTTTGCGGTGGGTACGGCAGGTTGGGGATATATCAGCGGTCGATAAACAAGCTTTGGTGGTGAGGAAGTCTCATCACAGAGGTCACTACATAAAACTTTTTGGAAATTGACTTTTTTTAATTTACAAAATTATCAAAAAATTAAGAGTTATACAAAATTGAATTTTCGGAGTATCAATTCTCTTTCAGTTAAAAATATTGTAAAACCAAAGCCCTTTGATGAATAATTCACTTTATTAAAAGAATTTGGGGTGCAACGAATAATGAAAAATAATCAAATAGTACAGGTATTTATAAATTTATCATTTATTTTTGTTGTTATTGCTGTGAAATTCCTAATTTTCTTAATAGAAAAATTTGGACGTAAACTGTTTATTGAGGAAAAATCAGAAATAATTGAGGAGTTTATGAGTTTGGAAGTGCTCCATAAAAATCCGCCCGCAGAATTTATTGATCGTCTTATTTTTCCCCTCCGGGTTTTGGTTAGCGACGAGATTGAAGATGGTGGGTATTTTTTCCATCCTACACAATCAGCCTCATTCCCTCTTCCTCCCTCCTAGTAAGGTCCCGTGGCGAGGGTGGAACGAGGGAAGAAATAAAGGGGGTGAAAAATGGTTGGAGCGTATTTTAAAGGGAAGCTGAAGACCCTCCCCTATTTTCACTGAAAAAAATGGCAGTTCATACTTCTCCGGTACATTATTGACTGCACGGAGAGAAATATTCAATTAAAATTACATATCTTTTCCATAATTCCGGAGCGAAATGTGGTTGTAGGAAATTTTACGAAACTATCACGTAATTTTTATATAAAATCACGGAATTTTTCCACGGCGTTCCGTAATTTTTACCTGAATCTCCTAGGAAAAATTACGATACCGTCACTTAAATTTTCTGAGTCGATTCCGTAATCCGTGAGCGAACTGTGAGTTCCGTAATTTTTTGTGAACATTTCTCTCCGTGTACTTCAATCCAAAAAAATATCAAATTTCAATCTCATCCTATCAATAATGAGACGAAACTACTATACATCATTGGTTCATTATTCCTACAATTCAATTAAAAAAATTGATGATGAGATGTTGAATGTTGGTTAACATGCTTGTCAATAATTGATCAGTAATTGAAATTCTACATGATATGCGGAACATAAATATTCAAAGTCTATTTGAATTCTCGTTATTTCCCCGGCATCAATCACCCACTCGATTAAACATAATTATTGACATTCGGATGCACGGACCAGAATGTTTTGCCGAGGTATGCATTAGTGATAAATAAATAGAATGTAATGAATTGGCGTGTTGCGCGCTATTACGAAATCGATTGATCCTCCCCCGGGCCCTCATCCAGCGGTCAACCGAGTCGATATTCAATCGAGAGCTGTGATAAAGCTGAACCACCACAGTTTCTGGATATAACTAGTTTCTCCAGAATATCACCATGAAAAATATTTCTGGAGAATCGATTTATAGTATAGAAAATGATTTTTTGGATGGGAAAAAACGAGAATACAATTGCAAATCACTAATGAACAATAGTATTGGATCACTTATTTCGCCCATCACATCCTCACAAAGATCAACATTCTACACTGACAGTTCACAATCGTATGCCACTGCTTCGAAATTTTCACGACCTGGCCACTGGAGAGGGGTTGGACGGGGTCCCGCAAAGGGTTACTGAGGAAATGGACGGACCACACACGTTTGACCGGTATGCAAATCGGCCGGACTCGGAACAAAAATTACAAAACATTTTATTCGTTTTATTTCGTCCCTTCCTTTAATGCGAGAAATCACCAGCTGGCGCCTTCGGCATTGTTCCCTTAGGTATATCGCAACAGTTATGAATTTCCAAACATTATTTTACCGTTAGAATTTATTCTCTTGGTCAAATAAATCAATAGAATAAACGATATGATGCTTGTTTTTATTCGTTTAATAATTCCTTTATAATATTTTTAGTTGACTCCGCAGTATTCATAAAACTGCAATAATGATACGATAATACCCTCTCAAGCAAAATAAAGAGGGAGGAGAGAGGTTCGAACAAAAGAATATCGTGAAGGCGCAAGTACGCTCGGGAAATAATAAAGCTTTAGTTTTTACTTGTATCATAAATTTAAGAGCTTTTCTTGTTTATAACGTCAGCCTACTGCACCTCGGGATAAACTTTTGATATGAAGTGGTATTGTTTTTCATCAGAGACGTGAGGCGCCGTCACGTTTCGAAATCCATTGGGTCATAGAATAAATTGATGATGATGAATTTTGATTCCCATACGGTCTAGTGGCTACGATATTACAGTAAAGTATCATCACGAGATGCGAATGATGTCTGCTTTCCTTGTCTCAGAGTTTCGGCTATTTTTTTGGTGATGCATATTTTAATTTCCGTCCACAGATAGTATATTTTGATTCCCATATAATCCAGTGGCTAGGATAATACACTAAAGCTACGATAATACATTTTGGCGTTTTTCATTCTGCATGAAAAAAATAACCTCAAATACATAAGACATTTTTTGCTTGTATTAGAAAAAAATAACGGTCCAGCGACATTATCCATTTCCATGGATGATGTATTTTAATTCCCATATGGTCTAGTGGCTAGGATATCATTTTCATATTACTGAGGTGTGATTATAAGATGCGAGATGACCGCTGGTTTCCATGTGTTAGATCTCCTACGTCTAATAGTCACCTTACGACTGACTACTCAGATGTGATCTGACGGTCGTAATTTTTTATCACAGAGTTTTGACAATTTTCTGGGTAATGCATATTTTAATTTCCATCCGTAGATGGTATATTTTGATTTGCATATAGTCTAGTGGCTAGGTAAATACACCAAAGCATTATTGCGTTTCTCATTTCGCATGAAAAAAATAACGGGACTTTTTTTTTCCTTGTGGGTAAGGCCTAGGATCACCCCTCACAATCTAAGGGGTGGAGAACTGAGAAAAACTCTCTGTGTAGGGGCAGAAACCCTCACCCCACGATAAGCAAAAACCAGCGGCGAGAAAAAATACAAAATGGCTTCTAAATATGAGTGGACACGAACTTCTCAAGAAATAGGGTTTTTTTCTTTTGTAGTCAACGGTTTTAATCGACCTAGGATAGATCACCCCAGGGATGAAAATTTTCAATTAAAACTCACTGTGAAACTGTTTAAAACTTAAAAACACCGGGAATAAAGTTATATGCTGACAAGCTATAGTCCGGCCCATTATCGCCCTGCAAGGGGTTGTAGTCAAGTTCGGTAAATTATAAATTTTAACTCTTTGCATTAATTACTTTTTATTCGTTTTTCTGTTTCGCGTTCGGGAAGTTTAAATTTAATATTGGTATTTTTTCTTTTAAAAACCAACACGAGAGAATAGTTGATAAAAACGAAAATTACCGTCAATGTTTTCATTAAAAAAATTATTGATGAATATCATTTTATAAAAAATATAATGATCAACTGTAACGATATATTATAATTATTTATTCCACGAGAGGGAATTATAAAAAAAGAATTCTTAGTTATCGACGGAGCTTCGAACTTTCTTACCATCACGAGGGGCTGAAAGAATTCGCTCGGCTGATTTTTATATTACCAACGCGGTCGATATAAAGATTATGAAAAAATAGAGGACAGAGGGCAGCAGTTGTGAATGCCACAATAGAATTTTTCATAAAATTCTGGGAAATCGATATCAGTCAGCGAATTTAAAATTTAAATTGACGATAAAAATAAAAAATAAAAATCATTAATTATTGAATACTGATGTTTTGCTATACAATAAATAATATAGAAAGAATAATGAAGACCGAATATTTAAATGAAAATTATCCGAAAATAAAGAAATAATAATGATCGAAAATCTATCATTGCTTTTCGATTTAATTTGGAGTAAGTTCGAGGTGAATGATCTGCAGTTATTAAATTCCCTCTCCGGATAATAAATTCATCGTCAAAATTTTAACAAGCTCGTGCAGTCAAGTTACTTCCACCGCTCGTGCATTAACCTCCCGAATACAGAAATTCCATTCCCACTTAATTTTCTTATCAATCCGACAGCTCACGTCACTCAAATTATCTCATAAATTTCTGATAAATTTGGTCAAGACATCCGCCATTCAGTCATTTCCCGAATGTATGCATAAACAACGTGAAGTGCAGAATTCAACTGCACGCCATATTGACACCCATTATAATGCATAAAAAATATACGGAAACTGAAAAATTGAGTTTTGTAAATATTTAACTGGTGTCGTAAAAATTTCAACTTTCTGTCGTAGCATGAGAATGTCTAAGCACAGCTAATTCAAAATGGCGGCACTACCACCCCTATATCATTCTCACAGCGACCCCTCGAGGCACCCTCTTAACAGAAACTGGAGGCGGCCTCGGGTTTGCTTCGGGGTGGGGCGTACATACCTTTTCAAAATATGGCGTTTATTCCGGATATTTTATTTATATTCTTCGGACGTTTATTGCCATAACCCAGATGCAGTCGCAGATACCACTGAATAAAGATAAAAAATACTAAGGAAGTAAATAAAATGAAAAGAGATAATATTTTATTTTTCATTAAACATAAAAATTTTCATGTTAATATAAGGAAATATGATTTTAAAAATTTGATGTGACAGGAAAATATGGATAAACATTGGAATAAAATGAAAAAAAATTCTATATTTTTAAATTTTATTTATGGATATTTGAAATATTTTTTTTTAGAGGGGTTTACTACTGAGAAATAGTGAAGTAGTAGTTGTTGTTATGCGAGAAATTCCCTCTTGAATA